ATATTTTATATATATAAATATATATATAAATATATATATATATATGTAAAGATTTTGTTGCGTTAAAAGGGAAGAAATAACATCATTATTACGCAAATGGTGACACATTTCGCGTGAGAGTGACATTTGGTAACAGGTCTGATGAATACTGATGACATGTCAGACAGGCCATTGAGCAACGCGTTGTCTTGAAACACTATTCATTCAAAGGCATTGCACAATATGGGGGGGGGTTGCGCATACCTTGCACAGTAGCTCCTCTCCTGTGTCGGTGTCCATGGCGCTGTGCATGCCCTCCCTGTCCGTCAGAGGCAGCAGCAAGAACGGTCCTATCCTGGACGGTCCCTGGTGGCTCCCGGTCGGGCTGTTGGGCACGGGGCTCCCCGGAGATCCGGGAGAGGTCCCGAGGAGTCCCTGCGTGTCCCCCGCCTCCGCGCTCAGCCTCGCGCATTTGGCCGGCGGCTGATCGTCCGTGTCCAGCCGCTTGTGTGCCACTCTGACGGCGCGGATGCAAGGTGCCGGGCTGCTCCACTGCAAGTTCATCCTGGTGGAACGATTCACCATGGAGGCGACCGACGACGGACTGTGTTCTGGTGGAGGTGGCGGTGTCGCTGTCGGGATGGTGGTGTCCTTTTAAATGGAACCAGTACGCGCTGTGCGCTCCGTTTGGGAAACACTCATCGTAGTTGAGATGTAAATGAAAGTTCGGTGACGGTGCGTCTTTGGTAATAATCCAACTCGCGTCCTCTTAATGAAGAGAGTGAATCAATGGAGGAGACTTGTGGTGAGAAAATCCTAATCCCCTGAGTCCAAACTGAGAGAGAGAAAGAATGAGTGAAAGAGAGAGAGAGGAGACAGAGAGGGAAGAGGAGAGAGAGGGAGAGAGAGAGGGAGAGCACCTCACTCACAGAGAGGCAGCGAGTGAGTGAGTGTGTGCGAGTGTGTGCGCGCGCTCCCCGGTGATGTTGAGCTGAAACACTCCGCCCGACCAGTCCAGCCTCCTGGTGACACAAGCATTGAGCAATCCAGTAACGGCACCGTCTCCAGCTCAGCACGGCTCTGATGAAACCGTCTGCTCTGTAGCCTCAGCTCGCACTGCACTGCAGCACATGCTCCAAAACTTTCATGTCATCGAGTCTGTGGTGCAATGGCTCAAGTGTTGAGTTCCTGATTTCAAATGAAGAAATGACCACTTATCATCACTGCCTCTTAGACAATAATTAACAATCCTGTCACCCTCCCTCCCTCCCGCACCCCGCTGTGTGACTCAGTTGTTCCACTGCATTATTACCACTGCTATTTATTACCAGTTGCAGCAACCTCTGCTCGATGTTTTGCTTCAAGTGTGAACTCAGTACTTGAGGGTACAGAAGTCCCTAGCTTTAACATCACAGTGATATTTTCCCATGCTGAGGCTCTTTGTTATGTGGATGTGACTCACCCCAATAAAGCCGTATTATTGGCTGCTCTATAAGTATTCACATAAAATATTCCAGGGCAGCTCCGTAAACACCAGCAGCTGGGCCCACCCCGACATTACAGCTATAAGAGTATTCTCTAATACTGCACAGGGCAGCGTGATACTCTGCAGTCTTGTGGGAATTGTGCAACTTTCTTCAAAAACATGTAATTGATGAACTGTGAACTGACATCTGAGGCCAGAGACGAAGAAAAGAAAGGCCGAATCACTGAAAGAAAACACACAAACAAATATCATTTCCTAAATGAGTTTTTTTAACATGATCTAAGGTCAGTGTGTGTTTGTTGGGATGTGCATGTGTATACACAGGACCATGTGTTAGTTGCGCAACAGTTCTCTTTCTTCTTGTGACTGCTTTAGGGTCACATCAGCACAGTAGCAGCATTGAAGAGGACTATTAGGAAATTGTCAAATGGAGTGTTTTTATTCAAGCAATTTAAAAGCCCTGTTTTCTCTAAAGCTGTTTAGTAAATGGCCAAACAATCTTACTTTCCAAATTACACATGGGATATTTGTAAACATTTTAAATTCATCAGAAATTCCTTTACAATATATATATATTTCAACACTCCATCAACATTTTACTTCTCTGTGGAAAAACACCAGTGTATTATCATCACCAAACTGCTTCACTGTAGTGTCCTTATTTTATTTTATTATTTAAAGAAAAAAGAAAGAAGGATAGTGTAGACTCCATTTAAAACCTCTTGCTTGTCCTATTTTGGTTAATTCTCTCTCTCTCTTTCTTTGACCAAAACAGTGTCTAAAAAAAACCCCTGCAAATCCCAGGCTGAGTGAAACAGACATGGATGGTTAGTATTTGTAGCCTACTTCTCCGTCAGTGCACCACTGCACTTCAACCTGCAGCACTACCTGTCCTCTCCAAACAGATTCTTGTCTTCCAAATCATTTCTTTGCACATTTCACGCACACTTCTCTCTCTGAGATGTTTCAGCCTCACCCAGGTCACGCTACCTCGACCCAGAATGGTCACACGAAGCTCACTCTGAAACTGTAGGCCCTACCAAACAGCAGATGAGCAACAGCAGATTCCATTCAAAGGATGTTATTTTTAGGCCCCGCATTCATTCTTTGCGCAGTGGTCATCCTACCGGTAAGGAGACTCAGCAGCTGATTGATGTGTGTGTGTGAGCAAGTGTGCTTGTCATGCCGTTAAACAGGCACAGGAACAGGTTTCCTCTGTCACCGCAGTCTCCCTGTCTGTTTTGAAGACGTTAAAAATCAGGGTGAGCAGTCAGTGTGGGAACTGACAGCAGCGGTGGTGAAGGACTCAGTGATTTACTGTTATCAGACAATAGTTGGAAGCTGGTGTGTCGACACTTCAAAGTCATGATGCCTGTTTGTTGCTCCTTTGTGTGCTGCTGTGTTCAGGCACACCCTGGAAACGGAGACTTTTTTTGTACGTGTTGGGGGGGGGGGGTATAGTGTTTTCTAATTTGTCCTACTCTAACTGGGAGTTTATGCTGAACAATTGCACAAACTAACACCACGCTACTTGTTGTGTTTTGCCTTCTATTGCACTTGTGGGAGATGGTTTATACAGCCGGACTCTGGTGTGTATCTCATGAGTTCCGTGGGTGTGTGTTATGTAGTGTGTGTATATATACAGTGCTTGCCTATGTAGGAGTGCGATTGCATCCCCACTCCAGGGAACTAGCAGAGAAAACAGTATTTAGGGCATGCTCTCCCTTGTTATAATTAGCTGAGTCACTCACCACCGGCGGCAGTCAAGAGAGGCTGGGAATTGATCTGCTCTGAGAATAGAACAATCCACTCTGGCTGACAGCCAGCCATCAATGTGAATTATTTCTCATTCAAGCTAACAAACCACACATGTGCAGACGTAAGGAACGAACAGTCTCGATACCAAAATGTAGACGTATCATTATGTGCGGCGCGGCGAACATTACCACTCGCAACTTGTTCTCAAGCCTCGACTCGAAAACAAACCTTAATCAGTGCTGATCATGTTAGGCTCCTGCAGGGAGATAACGCTAATGATCTGCGCCACAGCTGAACACCAGCTGAGAGCTTGGCTCACTGAGATGTTCTGATAATGATGTTGGGCAAATGCCTAATGAAGAGAGCAACTAGACACTGGGCACAAGTGTGTAGTGTATTACAATCAGGGACAAGAGTTTGTTGGAAGGAGATGTGATGAGCACCAAAACAATTTGACTAATTTCATGACTCGACACATGCAGAAGCCCCGGAGGCGACCTGGAGCACAGAAAAACTTGCGAGGTCTTGCAAAATGGTTTTTATTATATGAATGCACTTGGAGCATCGCAGCCTGTGTTGCCTGCACGTACACAGGCTAAAACACAATGTTAAGTTTGTAATTTCTCACGGTCAGAATGAAGTTTTAATGTACTGCAGTACATGTACTGTACATGTGAAACTAAAATTTTAAGTAGTAATTATTACTAGTTGATTATACACTTTACTATTTGTTACTATATATTTCACTGTGTGTAACCCTCTAAGGCTCACTGGAGCCTTAGAGGGTTAATGCTGCAGGGTAGTCACAGTAAATATTGATTTGATTTATGTACAGAATATTCTTATATCAACATTTAAAATATTTATATTGTTTTTCAAAGTCTCACTCCTGCCTTCACTACCTACCTAAACCTAATTTACACATTTTATACCAGTTTTATTTCTTTATTCTTTGATTGTAGACAGTTTATTTTATAGTACTGCACACCTGTCCACATTTCTACTACTGTGTTGTGCAGTGATTTTCACATCAAATATTTTCCCTGGTCATAAAAGAAAAATCCAAATAAATGTACTGAAGTGATGCCATGTTGGAAGTTTTGGATACAGAAAAACTTCTTAGATTGTGACCTGTCAGATAAACTTATCACTACACACCTGAACTGAATTTAAACCAGACAGTGTGCAGGACTGAGTATTCAGGCAAATATTTAAAATATTTTGTTCTACATAGACACAGGGTAGGGCCAATGCTTATCTGTGACTCGTTTAACATGACAAAGAATTAATTCATGCATGTTCCACCTTCAACCACTGCGTACAACAGTAGCCAATCAGCATCCCCTGTCACATTCATACTATTTCAGTTTCATGTTTATTTTCTTAGTTATTTTCTCTTAAAAATGCCTGTTTCTCTGCCCGTTGCCGTTGGACGACAGACAGTTTGATGTGGATGTAGATTCAGAGTGTGGGAGATAGAAGTTGGCTGTTGAACTATTAGCCTGTTGGAAAAAAGAAAGAATGTACTGTATAATGAAGGAGGGACTGTAGATCAAATGAAAGGGTTTTGTAACATTTGTTTAGGAATGCCTCTGGTTTACCATATATCTTGATTTACTATAATGTCCCGGCTGCAGTGAACTGTGTGAACCCATTTCATTGAGTTCTTGTATAAAAAATGAATCATCATTTCGATCTAACTGGCTTTACTGAATATGCTTTAAGATATTTTCACAACCTCGACTGACCTCCAGGACAATCCATCAAACCAGGATGGGGGATTGTTTCATGTGGATGGACTCCAGACTGTAGTCTGGCCAAAAAGTGCTGCCTTCCTCTGCTGGTTATCCCAATCTGTCCATCACGTTCTCTTTGATCTGTTCTCCTCGCTCTTTTAATGTTGGTTTGATTGGACAGACTGGAACTTTGGCAACAGAGATATTTGTGCAGTTCAAGCCACAGTTTAAAGTCATATCCATCCTCCTTTTTCAGTTCGTCTCGTAAACTCACTCACATTTAAATTCTGAACTTACAGACAAACATGGTTCCCCATTGCCTGGGAACATTTGTTCTCACACGGGGGGAGTTGTCATGTGCTTTAAGATTAGCACAAATACTTCCTCAAAGGACCTGAGAAGTCTGTAAGTCAAAGATGACAATGATGGTAAATAGTCTGTTTTGTACAGACAGCTTTAGTATCATTACAATCAATGGTAAATAAATGTCCTTGTGCAGTTCTTTAGAGTTTACAGAACATTACATTCACTCAGACGTTTAAACCAATTAGCTTGATTCTCACTCAAAACTCTCAGGAGCAACATAAGGTTAACGGTCTCTCTCAGGGTCTCAGCGGTCAGTATAGATTAGCAGAGCTGGGGATTGAACCCCTGACATTACAGTTGAAATACAACCTAAGTTGAATGTCATAGGCTGTATATCAGATTATTCAGTGATCAAGTATGATTTAAAGTATTATTTGGCCCATTGTAGGGAAGTTTGACTGGTTTGTAATTTTGTTTGACAAAAATAGCAGTTTGGTAGGAATCAGTCTTTTAAAAAAAGTTTAGTGCAGTTTTGAAGCAGTGGTATTGATGGTAATGTTTGTTTCTGCTTAAGTGGACCACCACACCACTGGTGTATTGTATGCTATGTGTTGGCCCCTGGTGCTCAGTGCTAACTACTAGCTCCAAAAGTAGAACATAGATCAGGGCTTAGAGGTTGAATAGAACCAATGCTTAATTGTCAGTGAAAAGAAGAATTGCTGTTTTATTTCTTTGTCTAATAATGTGAGAATTAACCTTTCTTAACTGTGACCTTTTGACCCATGGATACAGAATACCTCAACAGGTATTCTGTATCCATTAGACTGTGTGTGTCACTGCAAATCTGGGACAGGACTGAAAGACTGGGGTTAGGTATGAAAAGGTTACTTGTCCCTGGCTGTTATGAGTGTCTCA